CATCTTTGCCTCCGGGCCCTGCACAGCCACAGGGTGCAGGGGGGCTGCAGCCTGGAGCTGGGAAAGATCCACCCATGCCCAAGGCTGGGAGAAGGTCCAGGGCTGCCTCAGGGAAGGATTCCCTCCATACCTCCATAATTCTACCTCCCCTCTAAAGCCCAAGGGGGTGTAAGCAACCACCTCCCCGAAAACCCAGCAAAAAACAGCCAACCCCAGGCTGCTTCCAAGCCTCATCCTGCCTGCCAGGGTCCAGCACAAAGAGTAACTACAGCTCAGGAAGCTTTTATAGGCCATCCGCCTCTCCCACAGCTGCTCCCACCCCAGGTGATGCTCAACACACCTGCCATCAGGACAACAGGCAACAGCTGAGAGCACCTAATTCCCTGGGGAACCCATGTGGGGGGATCTAATGAGGTGCTGAATTGGGGGTCCCTTGCCCACAGGAGAGATGCTGAGTTTGCTGTGCAGTCAACTGCAGTTTTCCCCTTGTGTTTTGGGAACAACCAGCTAAGATCCACAAAGATGTATCCCACCTCCAGACCCTATCTCCCACCTCCAGACCATGGGGTCATTCTGCAGCAGGGGTGCTGGCTTGGGAGGGTATAATTTCCTTGTCAGCAATAATATTAGAGCAATTAGGTATTTGAAATAATAATTATTTAAGTGATTATTAGAATCATTAGGCCTGGGGCAAAATTGCTCCCAAGGTGTGTGGGCAGTGTAACCCTTCCCAGGATGACTCAGCAGCAGGTTGTCCCTGCTGTGGTCCCCAGAGAGAGGGGACAGGGGCAGCTTGGCCCAGGGGAATCACCGTGCAAGCTTCCTGCTGCCTGGTTTCAGGCTACAGATGAGGAAGAAAAGCAGTTTGGGCAGTGCAGGGAAGCTTCACACAAGAATGTTTGCTTTGGCCCTGACCCAGGTGAGCTCTGGTGTGCCCAGTGCTTTGCTTGCACACATAAGTGAGGACCTGGTGAGATGCCCATGAAGTTTAGGTGATAGCCATGGCTGATTAGGCTGTCTGGGCATGATCCAAACTGGCTAGCTGCCAGCAGGATAGCTATGCACCATCCAAAGGGAAATGACTCAGGTTGTTCCCATGGGGATCAGGCTGAGAAGATTTCTCAGCACCTCCCTGAGCAAACAGGACCTCTTGGTGTTCTCTTCCTTGTCTTCAAGCCAACACTTTTCTTGTGGAGAGCCACACGTGTCACATACACGAGTCATCCTGTGCTCATTGTGCTCTTCTCAAGCAAACTATGAGACTAATGGAGATGCTCCAAATTGCTTCCTCAGTGCTGACACCTCCTAAAGGCTACCCGTGGCTTGACTGCCCTGGACACAGCTTACCTGAGTGGTGCAGCCCACTGTTGTCCTCTGGCATGTCTTCTAGCAGGCTGTCCTCCTTGGTGGAAGTGATGGGGGACACCAAACAGCTGGTCCAAGGGTGGTTCTGCTCACCATTGTCTTCAACCTTCATTATTTTCACTGGTGACATCAGGAGACTCATGTTTTGGATGTTCCTTCTCTTTGCAGGGATGGAGGTGGACACCAAAGTGTGCAAAGAGGAACTCAGTGAGTGGTCAGGGATGGACATGACCTTTGCTACCAGAGCACAGCCCAACAAGGTGACCACACAGGTCTGTCCCTGCCCAAAGCAAGTCCTCTTCTTGCCTACATGGTCTCTGCTGCTCTGGGGTCACTCAGCAATATGTTCTCATTCCTGGCATGAAGCCCCTGGGGCTGTGGTCATTCCAATCATCTTGGTCAAGGTCTCCTCTCTGCCCAACAAGGGTCAGGAAAACTTAATGTTTTGCTCAATGGCTGCAGAGGAGAAGATGAGACTCCTTTCCCGAGCAGGCCAATGAATCATTAGCATCTCAGTCCAGCCCTGAGGCTGCCGAGCTCAGCCTGGCTTGCAGGCAGAGCTAAGCTCTTCTGATTTGTCGAAGACTGAACTGTCAAAGGTCAATGACTCGAATAATGGGACGTTTGGTGTGCTAAGTTTGCACTCCTCAGCCTAAGTCATCCGCTTCTCTTCCTTTTTGGGTGTTGTGACAAAACCACTGATCTGCATAAGAGCCCAGGAGCACACGGGGTGCACAGCCACCATCTGGAGGATGACAAGCATCAAACCCACCTTTGTAAAGCACACAAATTTCCTCCCTTAAACAACTGACTCAGGTGCAAAACCTTCCCCTCGAGGGACATCAGGACATTCACACACAGGCCTAAGGGTATTCATCCCTTCTGACAAGGCACAACTGACTTGACTATTCAGGTGTGAGACACAGCAGCCATGGCTCAGAAGGGCTCATGAACCATAGCAAAGCCTCGAAACGCCCCCAGACTCATTTCTGGGGCTTCCCCCAGAGAACTCTGCATGATCCATGGCTCTGGATGACCTTGGATAGTCATCTCCTGGAGATGCTACTGAGGCTGAAATTCAGGAGTCAGCTTGCAGGCTGGGCTGGAGAGCTGCATGTCCTGCCCAGCCACCATCCATTTCTCCATCCTTGCTGCTCTCCCACTTGGGTTTGTTGCCCTCTCAGCCCCACCAGCTAGGAGGTTCTATGCACTGTGAAGGAAAGAAGGATCATGCTGTTCCTCAGCAAGTTCTCTCCATGCAGCAGTGAGGTCACACTCACAGGGGAGATACTGCCTTCCCAAACCCAAAAGACCAACACACTGTTCATTCCAAAACTATTTATTGGCATGGCAAGGTAAGATGGAACCTAAAGGTCTCCATGAGGATCTCTGAAGGGTTTTCCAAGCAGACACAGTCCTGCTTTGCAGACCCTCACTTCCTCCTCTTCCGGAGTCTGGTGTAGGGCTTCCCCCCACGCTTGCCCCTGCTGGGATGCATTGATTTAGGGCATTCCCAGTTGGAGTCTAGGCTGGGGGTCTCTGAATGCACTGGGCTGGCAGGGGGAGTGGCAGGAGGGGGTGTTCTGAGGGAAGGGGCTCTGGCAGCTGCTGGGACCTCATCCTTTTTGGCTGGGCTGGAGGGGAGTAAGTCCAACAGGTTGGAGGGCAGTGATGGCCAGTCCACATCGGCGGTGGAGGGGTCCTGTTGGCAGGCCACAGGCTGCAGCAAGGGCCCCACAACAGAGGAGATGGTGGCCAGGGACTGGGACATGGCCTGGATCTCCTGGGTCATGGACACCAAGTGCCTGTTCGCCCTGAGCTGAGCTTGCAGGAGGCGATTGCCCATCATCAGGAACTTGTCTGCCTGCTGCACATTGGACCTGGCCCAGCCACCAAAAGCTTCCTGCAGGGAGGCCAGAGAGTCTTGGATGCTCCTGGGAAGAGGCACATTGCCCCCATGGGCTGACCCTGCATCTTCTTCTGCTTCTTCATCCCTTTGCATCAGATGGGCTGGAGGTACGGGTAGGGTGGGAAATGTATCCCCACCCTGGTTTGGACACACGTGTCCTCTTCCACCAGAGGGGTCCGACACAGGGGCACAGGGCTGGTGGTGGGTCAACAGCTCCACAGGGAGATCTCCATGTGGTTGGCCATCCTCCCTGGGAGACTCGAGGTTGATGATCAGGGTGCTCTCGTCAGACAGGGAGTCGTGCCGGGAAGCAGAGGTACCTGTTGTAGGAAGTGGGCATGAAGGAAGCAAGAGGGGAGAGTCAGGACTCTGAGGGTCCTCTCAGCCTGCCTCAGTGAGGTGGAGAGGGGAGATGTAGCAATGATGCCTACCATGTGAGGACATGTGAGGAGTGGGGTGGAAGGAATCCAAAACTCCATCCAGAACATCATCCCTGGGCTCTTTTATAGATCATCCACAGCACATGAGCTTGCCCTGGGAAGCTCAGTGATGGATACCCACAGAAAGCCAAGGAGGTCATAGCCCAGGTATGGAGACAGCAGCAAGGGCATGGAGCATCCCAAAGGATTCACCAAATTCCCTCACAGTATAACTGCTTCTTCGGGACTGCCATACTCCACAAGAGACAAGTGTTTTTTTTGGAACTGATGGATGCAACATGACATCCCATCCTTTGGGGAGGTTGGAGAGTGTCCACCACGTGGGCACAGGCTGGGGCATAGATTCATCAAGGCACCACATGGAAGGAGACTTGAAACCCATTAAGAATATGGTCCACACAGTGGTTATAACGTTCATCTCTGCATATGGTCCCACCTCCGCAGCCCACCTGGCCAAGTGCCTCCACACCTGGGTGCCCCATGGCACACTCCACCAGCTCTCCTTCCCTTATGCAGCCCTTTGATTTGAGACGGTCCAAGGGGTTTTGGAGTCTGGATCCCAGAGATCCTTATCACCAGAGACCGTTAGATTGGTGGGAGATCAAAAAAGGGCTCTGGCCAAATAAGCAAAGGAGCAAATTTTAGCCTCAGTGAAAATAAGTATCCCTGAGAGTCAATCTGGGCTCATCCTATTGAAAGAAGCAGAGGAGGAAGAAGAAGAAGAGATGCTCTAGATGCTCCATCCCTTGAAGTGCTCAGGGCCAGGCTGGATAGGGCTTGGAGCAATCTGTTCTAGTAGATGTCCCCACCCATGGCAGGGGGTTGGA